CTATGTGGTAATGGGAAGAACGGAAGGCTGGGAAGAATGGCTTCCAGTACAACTCTGCCACCTTCTAGCTATACGACAGAGTGAGTCAGTCTTCTCGGTAAAAACAAGATCTACTTGGACTGGAGATGCAACCTTTGCTAAAACAAAATACATTTCATGGAAGAAGAAACAAACAAACCAAAACCCCCTACAAAATACAGAATCCCAGAAGATGTAGTAGTAGAGAAAATTAGTGAAAGGGCTATCTGAAGGCTGGAAGGATTGGCTGTGAAGCAGGTGGGAATAACCTGGAATGGCAGGGGAGCTTCAAGATACCACTGCCTGTCCTGATCACAGGCACCAAGGACTGCAAAAAGAGGTGCTGACCTGGAAGGCGAAGGAAAGGTACCGAAGAGCCATTCACCAGCAGGAGACGAATTGACAGAGATATTACACAGATTACACAGCATCCCCCTGGGCTACCAGACGTGGCTAATTCCAGCAGAAAAACTCCTTAGAATGCTACCTTTGTGGATAGTAAAGTAACAAAAATGAAATGTTAGGCAATCACCTCCTGTAAGGGAGCTAACAAAAGACAAAAACAATCAAATCAGAAAGATGGGGTTCCTCTTCAGAGAGCAAAGTACAAGATGAATGAACAACACTGGGGCGAAAGGGGTGCTCTGGATATGGGAGAGAACAGATGCTTTGGAAGGGCAGGTCACGCCCTCAATCCTATCTGCAAACACCCCGTCACTGGCTGAAAGTGTCCTCATTCCAGCTGAGTAGGATTCACCAAAAGTTCTTACAGGTCGACGTGAACTCTGTTGAACAGGTGTGCTATGAACATGCTGGCATTAAGATCTCTTGTGAGAAGATGCCAAGGTTGAGAGCTTCGCTGTACATGGCTCTATAGATTGAGCTTTTTTTTTTTTTTTGAGTGGGAGTCTCACTCTGTCACCCAGGCTGGAGTGCAGTGGCACGCTCCCGGTCACTGCAGCCGCAACCTGCTGAGCTCAGGTGATCCTTCCACCTCTGCCTTCCTAGTAGCTGGAATTACAGGCGCATGCTACCATATCCAGCTAATTTTTTGATTTTTATTGTAGCGAGGAGGTCTTGCCAAATTGCCCAGGCTGGTCTCAAACCCCTGGGCTCTGGCAACCCTCTTGCCTCAGCCTTCCAAAGTGCTGGGATTACAGGTTTGAGCCACTGTGCCTGGCCTGTTTTTTTTTTTTTTTTTTAAAGATAGGGTCTTGCTATGTTGGCCAGGCTGGTCTCAAACTCCTAGCTTCACTCAACTGATCCACCACCTGAGTAGCTGGGACTATGGGTGCATGCCACCACACCTGACTGATTCTGAGCATTTGAAACAATGATCTTTGTTTCTTCAACATAGTGAATTCTCTTCTGAACTCCAGGATACCATTTCTAGACAGATATCTTCACGTGTGATGGAACTTAATATATTAAAAGTATTGGGCCATTGCCTTGCTAAGCTATGGTGTGGCCGTGTGCTCTTTGAGCTATGGCCAGGCCATGTTTCCTGGCTTTGGTCCCCTCCCCTGCCTTGGGGAGGTGAATCTGTTCTCTCTCTCTCAAATAAACTATATTTTCCTTATATACAAAAGTACTGGCTGGGCACAGTGGCTTACACCTGTAATCCCAGCACTTTGGGAGGCTGAGGCAGGAGGACTGCTTAAAGTCAGTTTAAGATCAGCCTGGGCAACATAGCAAGACCCTGTCTCTACAAAAAATAACAATATTAGCTGAGAATGCCTGTAGTCCTAGCTACTCAGGAGGCTGAGGCGGAAGGATCATCTGAGCCCAGGAGGTCGAGGCTGTGGTGTCCTCGAGCGTGCCACTGCATTCCAGCCTGGACAACAGAGTGAGACCCTGACTCAAAAATAAATAAATTGATACACGCCTGGGCATCTTGGCGAGACCTCATCTCTACAATAAGTCAAAAATTAGCCAGGCATGGTAGAACGTGCCTGTAGTTCCAACTACTTAGAAGGCTGAGGCGGAAGGGTTGCAGGAGCCCAGCAGGTCAAGGCTGCAATGGCTGGGAGCGGCCACTGCACTCCAGTCTGGGCGACAGAGTGAGACTCCAACTCAATAAGTAAATAAATAGGCCAGGCTTGGTGGCTCTGCCTGTAATCTCTACGCTTTGGGAGGCTGAGGCAAGTGGATTGCCTGAGACCACAGGTTCGAGACCAGCCTGGGTGACTTGGCAAGACCTAATTAGCCAGGCATGATAACACGTGCCTGTAGTTCAGGTTACTTGGAAGCCTGAGGCGGAAGGATCGTTGGAGCCCAGCAGGTTGATGCTGGGATGGCCGTGAGCATGCCACTGCACTCCAGTCTGGGTGACGGAGTGAGACTCCAACTCAAAAATAAATTAATAGATAGATAAACAAACAAATAAATTTAACAAAAGGATTGTCTTCCTTTCCCGCTGAGGGTCTCTACCTTGGTCAGGCTACAACCTCAAGGTCATCTGATTCTTCCCCTTTTCCAAGTGCCCAGATGAACCATGAAGTCATCACTGACGTTTCCATCAGATCACGCCCCACGGCCACTGTCATGGGCACCGCCCTCACTTCTCCCTGAAATCCTTCCCGTCTCCCCAGTGCGGCCTCTCCGGAGACAGCAGAACAAACATCATTCCCCTGCTCAAAAACCTGCCAGGAGCTGCCCTTCCCTGCAGAACCTGGTCCAGACTTCTCAGAACACACAAGACTCCTCCCCACTGGCCCTCTGTCCTCTCGCTTCTACTCAGAGTAGTGCCAAGTTCTAGCCAGGGCAAAACACCTGCTCCTTCTGGAACATTCCTACACGCTGTGCATGTGCTCACAACGCTCCCGCCCCCGCTGCTCCTAGTGTCCATTTCCGAGGGAGTGTCTGCCACGGCACTGGTTCAAGTGTTGGGATTAAAACCAAGTCAAGGTCCCAGTTGTTAAGGAACCGCCACTCCCTGCAAGCTTTCTCCAGCCACACCCCAATACACATTATACCTTTCTATCCTTCTCCCAGGCTTTTCTATCCTTCTCCCAGGCTACAGCATCCCGCAGTTTGTCTTTGTAACATTTGTACCCAGTGTGTCTTCTGGCCTGGGCTACCAACATCTTGAAGCCTTGCACAGTGCCCACCCATGGAAGGCTTAAAGTCTCCTGAATGACACCGAGTCTATCTCAGCCTGTTTCCATTTATGGTTAAAAAAATACAAAAACAAAATAAATGTGGTTTTGCCTATTTTAAAGAACTGTAGCTTGGTATGGTGGTCACATCTGTAATCCCAGCACTCTGGAAGGTCAAGGTCAAGAATTGCCTGAGTCCAGGGGTTCGAGATCAGCTTAGACAACTTGGCTAGACCTCGTCTCTAAAATAAATTTAAAAATTAGTCAGGTGTGGTGGCACATGCTTGTAGTTCCAGCTACTTGGGAGGCTGAGGCAGAAGAATTGCCTGAGCCCAGTAAGTCGAGGCTGCGATGGCATGATTGTGCTACTGCACTCCAGCCTGGGTAACAGAGTGAGACTTCGGCTCAAAATTCAACAACAAAAATAAAAATCCAGAAAAGCTGTAAATACTTTTAGAGGGAGTATAAATGAAAAATTGTAGTGGAAAGTCTTAAGAAAAACTCCACATCAATATAACCTATTATGCTTGTAGTCCTTTTGGATATCTGGTAATAATGATTCTATACCTCTCTTGAAGACATTGTAACCTAGAGGGTAGAGCCTCCCAACAGCAGACTTCTAATTCACTGTCACCAGTTGGCACTGGCTTCCCACCCAGGGTTGGGGGCAGGTCTCACTCCTTTAAACATGGGGGGCAGCCCATTACCTTTCCTCTAGGAGTTCCTGAAAACTGACAACGTACAGTCAAGCCACTTACCATTGCCGAAAAAAGAGAGCACCCTTAGAAAAATAACCTGGAGGTAGCTTCTACCTGGCCTCGTCCATTGGTAAAGGATTGATTTAGGAGAGCGATCAATACAATCAGGATTAAAAATGAGAAATATAGGCTGGGAGCAGCGGCTCACTTTAGGAGGCCAAGGGAGGAGGACTGCTTAATCCCAGGAGTTTGAGACCAGCCTAGCAAAACCCTATCTCTACAAAAAATTAAAAAATTAGCCGGGCGTGGTGACACATGCCTGTAGTCCCAGCTGCTTGGGAAGCTGAGGCAGAAGGATCGCCTGAGCCCAGGAAGTCAAGGCTGCAATGAGCTATGATTGTGCCACTGCATTCCAGCCTGGGCGATAAAGTGAGACTCTGCCTCAAAAGAAAAGAAAAAGGACAAATTTAAAATCCGACATGTTCTTTAGACTCAAGACAATCATGCACCTCATGACCTTGAACTAGATCCTGGTCTGAACAGCCAGGTGTAAAGAACGTATTTGAGACAACTGGGCACTTTGAATATAAAAATATCAACTTTTGTTGGGTGTAATATGTAAAAAAAAGTTCTACTCTTTAGACACATAAACCACAGTATGAGTAAAATATCATGTCTGTTATTTTCTTTAAACTACTTCAGTATAAAAGGGAGTTATAAACCCACGAACCACAGCTACTAAAACATGACATCCAAGAACACTTTCCAGCCAGGAACAGGTTGCGGTGATTTCATCAGAGGCAGGCTTATTTGGATGGGTAGGGCTCAAGCTTAATCTTCCTACCACAGAGACACAGTAAAAGTCTTGGGGAGCCCCGGCCGGGAGAGCCACGCTTGGGAGGCATGTGGGGAGGGTCTCACTGGTGCCTCTCTCCCCCATTTTTTAATCGTCATCATCAAAGCGAGGGGAAAGTCTCAGCTTACCCTTCACCACAGCACACAGGATATCTCCTGGTGACATCAGGAAATGTCCTTGCTTCTGGTTTAAGACAGAATATGCCCCTGGACTAGAATCACAAATACACTTGAGGCTCTGCAGCCTATCTGAAAGCCCAAAGTTGAATGTGCCGCAGACGTTCTCTCCAGCCCATGAGGCATGGAGAAAAAGCTGTTCTCCAACACGAAGAATCATAACAAGTATTTTATTAGCACATAATCGTCATCTTCCAGGGAGAGAAGAGTCCTCAGAGCACTGCTCTATTTTTCTTGAAAAGAGATCCGAGGAAAAAACAACAAAAAACAACAACACTGCTCAGCACTAAAGACTCTGAAGGGTGTCAAGGTCTCGGTCCCGTGTCATGGCACCACCGTCCTCTCACTGAGCAGGCTGCTGCCTCTCACCATGCCCTGGCCCCGCCCAGAGATGGGCTCCCTCTTACGGATGCTGATGGTGACCCTGTGGCCTGGGCAATAGCGGGCTCCTTACAACAGCGCCAGGCAGAGAGCAGCTGCACGTCAGTGACCAAGAGGAAGCCAGACTCGGTTCTTCACAGCCCCTCTCGACAGCTCTCTCCAGGGAGGGCCACCGTGTCTTCAGGCTGAGCACAGAGACTCCCATTGCCGAAATATCCGGAAGACCTTCCTCGACTTTTCAGATAGACTCTGCAGGTAGAAAAGCTGATGGTTAGAGCCTCAACTCGACATAGAGACGACAGGAAGTAATAAGCAACCCAGGGCTGGGCCCGCACATGTCTCCAACATGGCCTAGATAGGCCAGGACTGTGGACCCATTTGGCTTACACTGGGCTACATGTGACATACACCTAATGTCAGACCCGACAGCTTGAAGCTGGCACTCTACCACCAGATGCTGCCCACACACACAGAACACAAGCAGCGCCTCCTCTCTTGCCTCCAGATTCTGTCTGTCGTCAGTTTTTGTTTTGTTTTTTTTTCCTGAAGCCTCACTCTGTAGCCCCAGGCTGGAGTACAATGGCATGCTCATGGCCACTGCAGCCTCGACCTGCTGGGCTCAGGCGATCCTTCCAAGTAGCTGGAACCACAGGCACGTGCCATGCCACCATGACTGGCTAATTTTTTGACTTACTGTAGAGATGAAGTCTTGCCATGTTGCCCAGGCTGGTCTCAAACCCCTGAGCTCAGGCAATCCTCTCATCTTGGCCTCCCAAAGAGCTGGTATTGCAGGCGTGAGACCCTATGTTTGGCCTATTCTCATCTTTTTTTTTTTTTGAGTTGGAGTCTCACTTTGTCACCCAGGCTAGAGGGCAGTGGCAAGCTCCTGGCCACTGCAGCCTTGACCTGCTGAGCTCCTGCGATCCTTCCGCCTCAGCCTTCCAAGTAGCCAGAACTATAGGCGTGTGCTACCACACCCGGCTAATTTTTAATTTATTGTAGAGATGAGGTCTTGCCAAGTTGCCCGGGTGGGTCTTGAACCCGTGGGCTCAGGCAATCCTCTCGCCTCGGCCTCCCAAAGTGCTGGGATTACAGGCTGAGCCACCGAGGCCAGCCCATCATCTTTTTTTGTTTTGTTTTTTTTTGAGTTGGAGTCTCACTCTTGTCACCCAGACTGGAGTGCAGTAGCCGCTTCCGGCCACCGCAGCCTCGACCTGCTGGGCTCCGGTGATCCTTCCGCCTCAGCCTTCACAGTAGCCGGAATTACAGGCATGCGCTACCATGCCCGGCTGATTTTTTTATTTATTGTAGAGATGAGGTCTTGCTGCCCAGGCAGGTCTCGAACCCGCGGGCTCAGGCAATCCACTCACCTCAGCCTCCCAAAGGCGCGGGATTACAGGCTGAGCCACCGAGCCCGGCTCATCCTCATCTTTGAAGCGGAGGATGACACTTCTGATTCACCATTAGCAGCAGACACCGGTTTTTCATCCCTGATGCTGAATTGGCCCTCAGTCACTATTTCTTATGAACAAGGATTTATAATTATGTGACACTGTGGGTTAGCAGTATAATCCAAGGCCAAGGCATGAAAACAAAGTCAAATGATCCCTAAGAACTTAAACGCTGACCTTGGTCTTCTCAGCTTTATGGTTCAGCCAGCAGAGCTAATAATAGGAAGCATCTCATTGCCACTCGCCTATGACCATGAAGGACTCTGAGATTCAGAGAAACGGTATCAAGGGAGACACAGCAGCTCATGAAAGGATAAACGTTCTCTGCAAATCAGAACATTTGTTCTCTCGACCTTTGAAAATCACAACAAAGAGCAAACACTCCACCTAGAAAGAGTTAGAGTGAGAGTACAAAGCATGTCCAGCAAGACGATCCGCAAAGTTACCTCCGGTTTCTGATATGACATTTTCATAGTTAAAAAAATATATATATTCTCTTTGTGGATGAGTTTCAGTAAAGTTCCAGGAGAGAAAAGTTGGTGCTCTCACTAATGACCGAGAGGAATTTAGCAAATGGAGTGACAAAGCTGAAAGAAACAGAAGTTGAGAAAATAGCATAAGCCCTTTTTCGACATCAGCACCCTCTACGACAGCCTCAGGAAGCTCTGTGTCGTCCAGTAACAACGGCTGTGGGTAGGTTAGAAGACAAACCACTGAACGTCCTGAAACTCAGGCCCAATCATGAGGCCAACTTTTTTCACTACAAATAAAACAAAACCCTGCGCACCTTTTTTTTAGTACGACAGTGACAGAAAGGAGTCTTTTTATTTTGAGTCAGAGTCTCATTCTGTCACCCAGGATGTAGTGAAATGCCATGATCACAGCTCACTGCAGTCTCAACCTCCTGGGCTCAGGTGATTCACCTGCTAAGCTTAGCCTCCTGAGTAGATGAGAATACAGGCATGCGCCACCATACTTGGCAAATTTTTTTATTTTTTGTAGAGATGAGATCTTACTACGTTGCCCAGGCTGGTCTCAAGTTCCTGGACTTGAGCAATTCTCCCGCCTCAGCCTCCTGAATTGCTGGGATTATAGGCATGAGCCCCTGCTCCCGGCCTTAGAGAGGAGTCTTAATAAAAACTGCTGGTACACTAGTTCTTAAAGATGTAGGCAGAGAGGATTTATGTGTCAAGATGAATTTAATCTCTATTTGAGAGGCGGGTCAAGTTTGTCTGCAAATAGTTTTATATGTTTTCAAAAGTTTTAAAACTGGAAAAATGCAAATTCCTCCCATAAAAGCATGGAAAACTTTCATCTGCCTATTTGCTAAGGGCACTATCATCCATTTTTGGACTTTCAACATCACTGCAGTTCCGACCAGGAGAGCCCTGTGGCCCCGTGAAACCAAGAAGCTGGGAATGCTGCTTGTCAGTAACTGTAGGCAAGCGTTATTTCACTTTGTCCTTGGAGGGTACAGAGCTCCAAAGCTGGAATGTTTATATGGCCACAAGGCAGATTCAAGCATGAGTCAGCAGACGAAAGACAACACTGCTGTCACGGCCCCTAACGTCCAGCCCATTACTTTTCCCTACAAACCCCCGTCTTATCTTCCCAGTGGCCGCTCACATTGGAACCTGCAGTGGCCATGGCCATGGCCATGAGTGTGGGTGGTGGGTGAGACAGAGCACCGTGCAGGCGTCAGATGGCTGGTGAGTGAGACCACCATCTTGGGCGGGACATAGACAGCCAAGGCAGCCAGCTCCACCCCACGCGACAGCCCCTGGTGGCAAAGGCAGTCACTGTCATGTAAGGCTGGAGCCGCGATGCCCGTCTGTTTCTGTGTCTGGATGCCTTTTCTACTTGGAGTCATTTTAGCTGGGAGAACAAAGGACTAATCAGAGCTCAAGGGATATTTCTTGCTGCATGGCGGAAGACTGAACGGTCCTGTGCGGTTCTCTAGGGCGAGGGCAGTGAGTCTAAGTCCTGAAGGCTGTGGGCAGGTGGGTGCTGACTACAAGGCCGGCCTCTGCTGCCCGCCCATCAACAGCAAGGGCCGCACATGAGCGGGCAGTGGCTCATCTCACCATGGGGTCCGTGTCCACCGGCTGGCTGGACTGTCCATGGGCCAGCAGGACGCCCAGCACAGCCCTCCAGCCAGGTTCTGCTGGGGCACTGGCCTCTGGCTCGGTCCCACCATTCTCCCTGGCTTCTGTGCCAAGTGTGACGTTCACCCACGGGCACCAGTCTCTGTGCTGAGAGGTGGGATCAAAGAAGCTTCGGGAGGATGCGTCCTGGAGAGGAAGGGAGATGGCTCTCAGGAGGGAGGCGCTGTGTAAGTCAGGAGGCCACGCTGTCCCCATGGAGGAGCCTCCCGGCCACCCACACCCTGTGCCCCTTCAAGCTCTACTTGTCTGTCCTCCTCCCATTGTCCTTGTTCTCTCACTCCGCTTGTGTTAAGCAAAGTGCACTCATCAGCCTTGCCCCTACCTCCCTGCTATCCCATTTGCCTCAAGAATTTATTACCTCTCTGGAATCCACCTGAAGGAATGTACTGCAAACCCTACCTGTTCCCCTTGGGTCACCTGACTGTCCCATCTTTGCACGTGCTACGTGGTCTACTCTGCTCACAGGATCAGGGAGGGGCTCACTCCTGCTCCTGTGCTGTGCGGCGAGGGCCCAGCATGCTGTCTGTGCCCACAAAGCCCACACCCAGCGGGGCTCACCGAGCTGCTGGAAGAGCAGAGGCGAGCCCGCTTGGCTCTCCGTAGGGGACTAGATGGCACTTCCAGGCCAGCAGCATCTCCCGTGCCCATGCTCCGGGTCACTGGGCGCGTTCTGGTGGTGGGGCTGGCAGCCTCAGGCTCAGGTCGCTCCACGGGACTGGAGGAGTCCCAGCTCCGAGTTCGGGAGACGATGGGACCTGGGCTCTTTTCAGCCTGAAGGAAAGGAGAGATATCGAAGTACATGAATGATATTCATGGCTAGGTTCAGAAGTATTGCAGGAAGCATGGGAAAACTAATATTTCTTTTTTTTTTGAGTCAGGGTCTCACACTGTTGCCCAGGCTGGAGTGCAGTGGTACAGTCACAGCTCACCACAGCCTTGACCTCCTGGGCTCAGGTGATCCTTCTGCCTTAGCCTCTCAAGTAGCTCAGGAGGCCTAGTTACTTTTTTGCTTTTTTTATACAGACAAGGTTTCGCTATGTTGCCCAGGCTGGTCTCGAACTCCTGGGCTCTAGCAGTCCTCCCTCCTCAACCTTCCAAAGTATACCACTACAGGCCAGAAAACTAATCTTTTAGAGTTTAATTTCAGTAAGAATTTAGTTTTTGCTTAGAAGTTTAAAGATAGAAAGATTAAAAAAAAAGAATTTAGTTTCTGCCCTGCCTTCACATGCTGCATTTCTATGATGAATCAGCTCCTCCCTGATGAGCAGAAACACTCCATGGGTCTCTGATTAATGGTGGGAAGGGTAGCCACCCTCCTGCGTCAATTTCAACTTTGCACCCACAGCACATCTGTCAAGAGTGTGTGAAGAAGTCTACCCCAAACAGGCCAAGTCCATACCTGCTCCAGGCCTGGGGAAAAGGTGACATCCTGGCTCCGGGTCATCATCCTCCGAGGAGACTCGGGCACCAGTGGGGAGCGCTCTGGCCGCCCCTCAGGGCCCAGCACAGGAGAGCTGGTCAGGCAGAAGGATGCGTCCAGGTCAGTCATGGACGACTCGATCTGCTGGAAGCCCCAGAGCCCCACCTTCCTCATGCACTGCGGACACGTCATCAGGCACAGCTGCACAGGCTCCGAAGAAGAGCTGGCAGGATGGAGAGCAGAGAAGGTTCTCAGGCACCTCTCCCAGGACTGCCATGCTGCCGAGGAGGCTCTGCTCATCTGGAAGGTCCAGGGGGGTGGGAGCCATGCTGCTTGGGCCCTGTACACTGATTCCAGGGCCCCAGCCTCACCACTTTCCACATGGTTCCTAGAGAAACATCTAGGGGTCTTGGTGTGCTCACTACAGCAAGACTATTTTGAAGGTATATTTTATAAATTTCTCCTGTCCCTCTTAAAGCTTTTCCCTGCTATTTTATTTTTGGTTTTATTTTATTATTTGATTATTATTAATGTTTTGAGTCAGAGTCTCACTCTGTCGCCCAGGCTGGAGTGCAGTGGCATGATCACGGCTCACCACAGTCTCAAGCTCCTGGGCTCCAGCTTATTCTATTTTTTAAAAATAGAGATGGGTCTTGTTATGTTGCCCAGGTTGGTGTTGAACTCCTAGTGATCCTCCCGCCTCAGCCATCCAAAGTGTTGGGGCTACAGGCGTGAGTTGCCATGCCCGGCTATGCTACCAAGAAAGCATATTTAAAATAAACCAAGATTGCTTCTGACAGTCTTCTGTCTCTGAGGGAGACTAAGCCAAACTGCGCAGCTGGAATGGAGACCCCAACACAGGGCCTGCCAGACTCCAGCTGGTGTTTCCAATGGCAGTTTTGATCAATTAAGCTGATTTTTCTCCTTCCTAAAAATAGAAAGGAGCTTATTTTTTTTCTCTTTTTAGAAAGGACCCTTACTGTTTACAAGAAACAAATTCCCAGCTAGGAGTGACAGTGTGAGAAACACAGTTCACTTGGGACATCAGGAATCCTGAGCTCTGATTCTGGTTTCTCATTAACTCTCATTATCCACCCTGGCTCCTGCCCCCAGGTTTTTCTATCTCTGTTTTTCTCACAGGAAATACCTCGTGATTTCCAAATACTGCTAGTGACACCCCTATATAAGGGTGGAACTGTGCTGTCATAGTTCATGTCTCCAGGCACAATGGGCTGACTCACCCACACGCCCAGCCACACACAGAGAGAACACAGGCAGTGACGTGGACCTGGATGTCAGAGCCTAACTTAGTCATCGTTTTTCTCTCATCAGTTCGGTGATCAAGTTCATCTTCAAGCAGGTGCAGGAGAAGGCTGATCTTGTCTTCTGTCAAGCACTACAAGGAAACCAGGTAAAACACATCAAGTTATACATAACGATGTATTCAAAAACCAGGAAATAAATATAAACATGAAGACAGTCCTCATGATAGATGAGGTTTCCTTACAGGGATCCACAGGGTTAAGGCATCCACAGAAGCTTTCTCAACTACCCCAGATTGGCTGACTGAGGACGGGGTCAGGCTTCTTGGGACTACGAAATCTTTTCTTAGTACTAAATTGTTTTCAATTTACCAGCTGCAGGTTTTCTCTAAACCCTATAAGCCTCAAACTCAAATAGTGAAAACAGATTACCATATAACTTGGCCTGACACTGAATTTACTGTTTTAAAAAATATTTTTTATTTCTAGAGATAGCTCTGTGTTTCCCAGGCTGGTCTTGAACTTTGCAAGCTCAAGTGATCCTCCTGCCTTGGTCATCCAAGTAGCTGCTGTGCCCTTGGTTCTGAATTTATTTTGTGACAGAAAAACAGAGCTTGCCAGTCTTTATTTTTGTTCTAAGAAAAGCAAGGGGGCCAGGCGTGGTGCCTCAGCCTATAATCCCAGCACTTTGGGAGGCCAAGGTAAGAGGATTGCCTGAGCCCACAGGTTTGAGATCAGCCCGGGCAACTCGGTGAGACCTCATCTCTGCAATAAATCAAAAAATTAGCCGAGCATGGTGATGTGCGCCTATAGCTCCAGCTACTTGGAAGGCTGAGGCAGAAGGATAGCCTGAGCTCAGCAGGTAGAGGCTGCGGTGGCTGCGAGCATGCCACTGCACTCCATCCTGGGCGACACAGTGAGACTCCAACTAAAAAAAAATAAAATAAGAAAATAAAAATCACGAATTAAAAAAAAAAAGAAAAAGAAGGAACTATGATAGGGTGAAAAAAATTTGCTGTGGGGACAAGATTACTTTAAAAATAGGCATTCAAGCCGGGCTCAGTGGCTCAGCCTGTAATCCCGTACTTTGGGAGGCTGAAATGAGTGGACTGCCTGAGCCCGCGGGTTCAAGACATGCCTGAGCAACCTGGCGAGACCTCATCTCTACAATAAAAAAGATAAAAAAAAATCAGCCGGGCATGGTAGCACGTGCCTGTAATTCCGGCTACTCGGAAGGCTGAGGCGGAAGGGTTGCCGGGGCCCAGTGGGTCGAGGCTGCGGTGGCTGGGAGCAGCCACTACACTCCAGTCTGGGCAACAGAGTGAGACTCCAACTAAAAAAAAAAGGCATTCAGCTGGGTTCGGTGGCTCAGCCTGTAATCCCGTGCTTTGGGAGGCTGAGGTGAGTGGATTGCCTGAGCCCGCGGGTTCGAGACCCGCCTGGGCAACTTGGCGAGACCTCATCTCTACAATAAATTAAAAAATTAGCCGGGCATGGTAGCGCACACCTGTAGTTCCAGCTCCTTGGAAGGCTGAGGCAGAAGGATCGTCGGAGCCCAGCAGGTCGAGGCTGCAGTGGCCGGGAGCGGCTATTGCACTCCAGTCTGGGCCACAGACTCAAAAAAAAGAGAAAAAAAAACACAGGCATTCAGCTGGGCGTGGTGGCTCAGCCTGTAATCACAGCACTTTGGGAGGTCGAGGCCAGAGGACTGCCTGAGCCCAAGGGTTCAAGACAAGCTTGGGCAACTTGGTGAGACCTTGTCTCTAAAAAAAATAAAAATAAAGAAAAGCCAAGCATGGTGGTGCGTGTCTATAGTACCTATAGTTCCAGCTACTTGGAAGGCTGAGGAGGAAGGATCGCTTAAGCCTAGCAGGTCGAGGCTGCTGTGGCCGTGAGTGTGCACAATGCACTCCAGCCTGGGCGACAGAGTGAGGCTCCAACTCAAAAAAAAAAAAGAATAGGCATTAGAAGTGAATAGTTTGAGGTTAAAACCCACAACAGCCCTTCTTCAACTCACCCTTGAAGAAGCTGCAATTTCCCACAGTAAAGCCTGTCTGCAAAAAATACCCACAGGATAATGAGATGGAATAGTTTCAAGGTTCAGGTGGGCTAGAGCATTTCAACATTTCCATTCATAAGAAGGGAGTTTATGATTTGTTCTCTAGCACTTTCTTTGAAAAATGGTATGAGATAAACCACATGCAGTCATACTTCACTATCTCCTGTCAAACAGCTTAACTAATAAAACGAAATTGAATTGATGCCATTTAAAGAATCATACCTAAATATTTATTTATTTGTTTGTTTATTTATTTCTTTTTAGTCGGTGTCTCACTCTGTTGCCCAGGCTGGAGGGCAATGGCAGGATCATGGTCACAGCCTTGACCTTCTGGGTCCAAGTGATCCTCCTACCTCAGCCTCCTGAGTAGCTGGGATTATAGGCTCATGCTGCCAGGCCCAGCCAGTTTTTTATAGAGGTGAGGTCTTATTATGTTGCCCAGGCTGGTCTCAAGCTCCTGTGATCAAGAAATCCTCCTGCCTCCTTGGCCTCCCAAAGTGCTGCGATTACAGGCATGAGTCACCCCACCCAGCCTGAGACTCACACCGAAACATTTAAATGGAACTTCAATAATTACTTTTCTGATGAAGACTGAAACGGTCAGCTGAGAGACAGACAAGTAGTTCTGTTCATAATAATCTGCATCCTCTTTCTTGTCATTAAAAGAAATGCATGTGATAACTGGATAGCCTAGTCAAGAAAAACTTACCAGAGGCCGGGTGTGGTGGCTCAAGCCTATAATCCCAGCACTTTGGGAGGCAAAGGCAAGAGGATTACTTAAGTTTAGGAGTTTGAGACAAGCATGGGCAACTTGGCAAGACCATGTCTCTACAATAAATCAAAAAATTAGCTGGGCATGGTGGTGCCTGCCTGTAGTCCCAGTTACTTAGGAAGCTGAGCTCAGGTTGAGGCTGCAGTGAGCCACGATCCTGCCATTGCCCTCCAGCACAGGTGATAGAGTGAAATTTCAACTCAAAAAAAAAAGACAAAAAAAAAAAAAACAACTCACCATAGTTTTCAAGTCCTCCGGCCTCAGAGAGGGAAGCTGGAGGTCCAGGTGACAAAGGCTTTGAAAACGATCCAGGAATTCACTAATGAGAATAGCAGGCTCATCCAGCGGCAACATTCCAAACCGGTCTGCAGAAAGAGCCAATGGAAAGATCACATTGGTACAAACCATTAAATACAGAAAATATTAAGAGGCCAGATACGGCGGCTTGCTCACACCTATAATCCCAGCACTTTGGGAGGCTGAGGTGGGAGGATTGCTTGAGGCCAGGAGTTTGAGACCAGCTTGGGCAGCCTTGTCTCTTAAAAAAAAAATTAGCCAGGTGTGGTGGCACACACCTGTAGTCACAGTTACTTGGGAGACTGAGGTGGAAGAATCACCTGAGCCCAGGAGGTTAAGGCTGCAGTAGCCATGACTGTGCCACTGTACTCCAGCCTGGGCCAGATTAAGACCCTGACTAAAAACAAAACAAAACAAAACAAAAAACCCCACAATACAGAGGGGCAAGGAGGTATCAGGAATCTAAAAGAAATAAGATTTACCATAAGCTGATATGGCTGAAGCGGGTGACGGGGACAGAATCTCATTATATATACTACTCTCTGTCCTTTTATGTATGACTGAAATTGTTACCTTAAGAAAAATAAAGAAAAACAAGATGGAGCTGCTGGAGGCAGAGGCTTGAGTAGGTGGCAGGATTTGAAGATCAACATTTATAGTAACTACCAAGTTTCAGACAGTGTATCGTGTGCTGAGAATAAAAAACAATGGTGGGTTCCTAAGGTCTACATGAGAAATGCAAAAAGGCTCACATTGCATGGTAAAGCCTAACTGGGGTTAGAACACATAAGGTATAAAATCAGGAAGTACACCAGCTATGCTTAAGGTGAAGATGCTGTCTGAACTCAGTCTGTGAGGAAACCTATTACACAAGATAATTTACTTTGGTGTTGCCCAATTCATCTACTGGTTATTTGGTACACCGTACAAATGCAATTGGTGGGAGGATCGCTTGAGCCCAGGGGTTCAAGACCAGGCTGGGCAACTTGGTGAGACCTTGTCTCTACAATAAATAAAAACATCAGCTGGGTATGGTGGCGCATGCCTGGAGTTCAAGCTGCTTGGAAGGTGGAGGTGGAAGGATCACCTGAGCCCAGCAGATCAAGGCTGCAGTGGCCATGACTGTGCCACTGCACTCCAGCCTGGGTGACAGAGTGAGACTCTGACTCAAGAAAAAAAAAATTAGAACAAGTAAATAATGCCGTATGTATGGCTGACAGAAAAATGTAAGTGATAGAAAAAGAATCATGTAAATAGCAAATGCAGTATAGCAATAGTTAGTCAAAACAGGGAGGTGGGGAATGAGATCAGATCACAGCTGTGTCTCTAACTCTTCCTGATTAATGGAAATCATGCAGGGTGGGTGCTTTGAAACAAGGATGGCAAATGCTGGGATTTGGTAGAGCTGGGTGGTAGATACAGAGATTTTTAAAAAATTACCATCTATACCATTTTCTATACTTGAAATATGTCAACATTTTAGAAATTATTTAAAAAGATAAAAATAAAACAAAGGGCTGCCACTGCTTTGTTAAACTCTGGTGTGTCCATGTGGCTCCTTGAGCTGCGGCCGCCATGTTTCCTGGCTTTGGCCCTTCCCCTACCTTGGGGAGATAAATCTCCTCCCTCTCTCTTTCTAATTTACTTACTAAATAAACTATATTTTCCAATCTAAAAAGATAAAAAATGGCATCAGTCTTAAAAGATGCATGATAGTTAATGGGAAAGGTGTGGACTTTAAAAAATCAAAAGAAAAAAAAAGTAGCTGGTCACGCCTGTAGCATCAGCTACTCGGAAGGCTGAGGCGGAAGGATCACCTGAGCTCAGCAGGTCGAGGCTGCGGTAGCCATGAGTGTGCTACTGCCCTCCAGCCTGGGCAACAGAGTGAGACTCCAACTCAAAAAAAAAGAAAAGCATAAGAACTAATTAGTTTGTCAGCTGGTAAATAATTTTCCTTTTGCTAGCAGGAGAAAATAGTAAATATTTTATTAAATGAAATAAAATGAAGATTAATTAGTCATACATTGTAGCATGTGCTTGTAGTTCCAGCTACTTGGAAGGCTGAGGTGGAAGAATCACCTGAGCCCAATGGGTCAACACTGGGGTGGCCGTGAGCGTGTCACTGCACTCCAGCCTGGGCAACAGAGTGAGACACTGACTCAGAAAAAAAAGAAAGAAAGAAAAAATTCAACTGAGGTTTAATAAACTGGTAACAGGTTCTCTCAGGTTTAGCAAAACTTGAGAGAAGAAACCAGGTTCCGAGAACCTTCTGGTCATCTTCTAACTTAGGGCTTGGTCCACGACTACAATACCAAGAAAGTTCAAGTAAGGCAAAAGCCTGAGAGTAAACAGAGGAGAAATTAAACTCATCATGACAATGTTTTAATGTAAGTTTAAATATGTTTCATAACTAACTTATTTGTGTATTTTGTCTTTTGTTTAAAGTGTTTGATATGGCTGGGTTTGGTGATTCACACCTATAATCCCAGAACGTTGGGAGGCAGAGGCAAGAGGACTGCCGGAGCCCAGGGGTTTGAGACCAGCCTGGGCAACTTGGCGAGATCTTGTTTCTACAATAAATCAAAAAAATTAGCCAGGAATAGTGGTGCATGCCTGTAGTTCCAACTACTTGGAAGGCTGTGGTGGGAAGGATGGCCCTGATGCCCTGAGCGTGCCAATGCACTCCAACCTGGATGACAGTGAGACTCTTACCCCCCAAAAAAAGTGTTTGATATGTTCAAAATAATCAGTCCTAGCAAATTTATAAATATAATTTAAAATGTTTCATGAAATTTAATTCAGTTTGAAACCAGCCTGAGCAAACTGGCAAGACCTCATCTCTACAATTAAAAAAAAAAAATTAGCCAGACGTGGTAGCACGCGTCTGTGGTTCCAGCTACTTGGAAGGCTGAGGCAGAAGGATCATCTGAGCCCAGCAGGTTGAGGCTGTGGTGGCCGTGAGCATGCAACTCAAAAAAAAAAATTGAATCAGTTTGTAACTACTGGTAAATGTAAGAAAAATTACCTTCAAAATTATATTTATTAAGTATACTTAACAAATGTAAGCATTAAAATGAGTGTTTAAATTTAATGGGTGTCCTTTTCTCCACATGAAATTTCACTGAATGGTACAGAACCAAACCAAGGGATAGTATAACTGAAAGGTCACACTTGAGATCTATTGAGGAGTAAGAATGTCTATGACAAGGTGGGTGACAGTAGAGAAGGGCATCTAAAGTGACTTCCAGGCCCGGCTCAGTGGCTCAGCCTTTAATCCCACCACTTTGAGAGGCTGAGGCGAGTGGATTGCCAGAGCCCACAGGTTCAAGACCCACCCGGGCAACTTGGCAAAATCTCGTGTCTACAATAAGTCAAAAATTAGCTGGGCGTGGTAACACGTGCCTGTAGTTCCAACTACTTGGAAGGCTGAGGCGGAAGAATCACTGAAGCCCAGCAGGTCGAGGCTGCGGTGGCTGTGAGCGTGCTACTGCACTCCAGCCTGGGTGACAGAGTGAGACTCCAACTTAAAAAAATAAAAATAAAAATAAAGCGACTTCCAGGTTTCTGGCTAGAACAGTGGATGGGAAGGTCAGTGCCATTTACCAAGATGGAGAAACTTTCAGGCATAAAATAAAGAGTTCCATTTTGCACATGTTGAGTTCCCAGTACCTGCAATATTATGTGAAATGTTTACAAGGTAGATGAAAATCAGAGTCAAGATCGAAAGCGAGGTCTAGATAGAAATTGGAGTTTCCCAGGTGGCAGGTGAAGTGACGAATGGGACCAAGAAGGCAAAGTATACAGTAAAAAGAGTTGGGAACCACCAACACAGCCCTAGGCAGACTAAAAATGCAGATTGTGTGCACTGGCTCAGGATGGATTTCAACCCTCACAGGACTGTTTTGTTATACAGTGAGATGGCAAGGCCAGCAGCAGGAAACCCTTATTATACAGTCATCTTCACTCTGACATTCTGTTTCTTTCTTTCTTTTCTTTTTTGAGTTGGAGTCTCACTCTGTCGCCCAGACTGGAGTGCAGTGGCTGCTCCCGGCCACTGCAGCCTCGACCTGCTGGGTTCTGGTGATTCTTCCGCTCAGCCTTCCGAGTAGCTGGAACTACAGGCGCGCGCTACCATGCCCGGCTAATTTTTTAATTTATTGTAGAGATGAGATCTCGCCAAGTTGCCCAGGCGGGTCTCGAACCCGTGGGTTCAGGCAATCCACTCACCTCAGCCTCCCAAAGCGCTGGGATTACAGGCTGAGCCACCGAGCCCGGCTGACATTCTGTTTCTTAATAATCTCTTTTCTACCACTGCTCTTCATTTCTTAGAGGTAGGCAGCAATATCTGGTTATGTTCAATCTTTTTTTTCCTCTTAGTGGTCATTTATGGAATATTCTTGGCCATCAGTACCCTGGAATTAGCCTGAGCTGTCCTATGGAAATAATAAATACACTTACATGGCACTGATCCCTGGCCAAGACCTGAAATACATGGATGAATAGTGTTGCTTTTTACCTATGAGTCCAAAGAACTTTGTACTTGGCCTTGGTGAGAGTCCCCACTTGAGGGCTTGACTGCTGGAATAAGGTGTGATCAAGACAATATTTTTAAAATCCCAGTTGAGATTATATTATGGGCTCTCTTATTCCCAAGCGTTCTGTGCTCACATCAGTGGTTCCTGACTCCTGGCAGGAAGGTGTGTCTGGTCACGGCCTCTATGTAGGGAGGGAACAGGAGCATGGACTGGATTCCAGGCCTCTGGTGGAGGCAGCCTCTGACTGTGATGACACCCTTGCCTGGCGCTGCTGTGACCATGCACCGTTTTACTGTAATCATCTGCAGATGTGCCATCACTCTAGTTGGTCCTGCGACTCTCCTGTAGCAACCCACCCCTGTTTTATTGGCATTATTAGTGCCACCAGTCATCCCGTAGAGGAATCCTAAGTGAAACACGGGATTGCTCGGTATTGCAGGAAAAGCAGAGGGTTTAGAATCAGATAAAACCAGTCATGGCTTTTCGCGAGCTGGTTTTAAGACATTTGACTCTCAGTTTGTTCACCTAAAAACTGGGTTGATAATATCTACCCCCCCAGGGCCCCTGTGAGGTCTATGTGGCTAAGCCTTTGGCATGTTGGGTGCACCTAATAAAATTGATCAATAACTCAAGTGAAGGAAGTGCTTCTTGAAAAGCACAAATAGACAAAAAGAGAAAGAAACTTCAAAGACAAGGTTTTCCCCAAGAAATAGACAGCATTCAAAATGCAGTGACCAAGGAGAAATGGGAAACGGGAATGCTCAGAACACATACCTGGAGAGGGGCTGTCTGGCCAGAAACAGAACTTCTCATGGGCAGTACTCAAGGCTTTCTTCAGCTCAGCACATCGCTCCTTATCTGAAATGCACATGGACAGCAATGCCTTCAGAAACACTATATACTAGAACAGCGACTCAGGGTACTATCAAAAATAAATTTGAAGAACCACCACATAGAGTCAAAATCCAATGATTGGCCAAGAACCTTTAAGAGCAGAGATTCAACTAAAATAAAAGTAACTAAGAAGATTTAAAAATATATGCAGGGTGTGGTGGTGCATGCCTGTAGTCCCAGCTACTCAGGAGGCTAAGCAGGAGGATCTCTTGAACCCAGGAGATCAAATCCAGCCTGGGCAACATAGCAAGACCCCATCTCAAAGTATATATACATATGAAAATATTACCTACAACAACTTAAATATTTTCCACAAGAGAAGTTCTAAATCAAGATCCTAAGATCAAGAAAGGAGATGTCATGTATCCAATAAGACAAGACATACCACAGTGTAAGCCTTCATAAAAGTCCTTTGTCACTCTTTGCCTAGAAGGATAAATTTTGGAGCAATAAAGTAAAATGCTGCTGTTAGTTACCTAGCATACATACAGTCAAGTCCTCTCTACAATAGCTAGCTTAGTTTTAAAAAGTAATGTGAGCCAGGTGCAGTGGTTCATGTCTGTCATCCCAGCACTTTGGGAGGTGGAGGGGAGAGGACTGCCTGAGCCCAGGGTTCGAGACCAGCCTGGGCAACATGGTGAGACCTTGTCTCTATAATAAATTTTAAAAATAGCTGGGCGTGGTACCTCGTGCCTATAGTCTCAGCTACTTGGAAGGCTGAGGCAGAGGGATCACCTGAGCCCAGCAGGTAGAGGCTGTAGAAGCCATGGTCATGTCGCTGCTCTCTAGTCTGGGCAACAGAGTGAGACTCTGACTCAAATAAATAAATAAATGAATAGTTAAAAAATACATAAAAAAGAAGTAATGCTTGAAGCCAATAATTAGGATGAAGACAATCGCAAATTCACCTTGTTACACAGAGGGAGAAGGGAGGGGGGAGGGGGAGGGGGAAAGGGGGAGGAGGGAACGGTACACATTCTCTGATCAAACAGAGAATCAAATAGAAGTGACTGGCTTTTTTTTCAGAACCAGGAGAGTATATCTTGGAATGTGGAGAGACATGCACCTTGTACCTCTACTTACATCTGTCAAAGTCAAAGGCTGGCTGCAGACTGGCACAGAGGAAAGCCTGGCAGCTGGAGCACTTGAGCATATCGCATTCAACCGTGACCCAGCCATATTTTGCACAGACGAGTGGCGACAGCTCGGGGGGCTTACCCGCCCATTTCAAAGAGTGTTCACATTAAGAAAAGCAACACTGCAAGCATATTAAAATGAATGCCAGAAATTCACTTTTACTCCCTTTAACGTATACAAGAATAAACACACTAAGGAGAAAAGCAAGAAGAAAGGTAGTAAACACATTTTTATAGTTTTATACCTCACAGAAAGATGAAGGCCAATGGAATAATAAGCAGAGGGAAGAAAATTACTCACTTTTTCTTGAAGAAGCATATATACTTTACATTTTTAAATGTTTATTACTGGTTGTGGGGTAGAAAACAGACAGGACCACCCATTTTCATGTGATCTGAAATACTAGGAACATACAGACACCATAAAGGCACTGGGACGTGCCTACGCAGTAAGATATGGTCAAAGTCAGGAAGAAGCATCTTCTGTCACCTGCCTATGCTCTCCTGCTATACTACACCCATCATTACCTTCTGCAGAATAAAGGCACTAAGATTAACAATATTCTTCATTATCCAAAAACTGATTGTTCGTACTAACGAGCGTGTGTGAGCCTATGTGTTTTAAACAGCTAAGAGTATCTTAAGTATGTTCTTGGGAAGGTGTCCTAAACATTTACTGCTCCTTAACATCCAACACACAGCTTTTTATATCTTACCTAAAGAGCACTTATTTTATAGCCCAAAGGAAAAAAAAAGGATAAAACATGGACAAGGAAAGTTCTAAATTTTTATAACGGATATGGAATTTGAAAAACATTTCAAGCTGGGCTCGGTGGCTCAGCCTGTAATCCTGCGCCTTTGGGAGGCTGAGGTGAGTGGATTGCCTGAGCCCGCGGGTTTGAGACCCGCCTGGGCAGCGAGAACCCATCTCTACAATAAATCAAAAAAGCAGCCGGGTGTGGTAGCTCACGCCTGTAACTCCGGCTACTCGGAAGGCTGAGGCGGAAGGATCGCCGGAGCCCAGCAGGTCGAGGCTGCGGTGGCCGGGAGCGGCCACTGCACTCCAGTCTGGGCGACAGAGTGAGACTCCAACTCAAAAAAAAAAAAAAAGAAAAGAAAAGCATTTCAGCCAGGTAGAGTGGCTCACGCCTGTAATCCCACTACTTTGGAAGGCTGAGGTGGGAAGATCACTGGAGGCCAGGAGTTCAAGACCAGCTGGGCAACATGGGGAGACCACATCTTCACAAAAAAATCAGCCAGGCATGGTAGCATATGCCTGTGGTCCCAGCAGGTGACTCCCTCGACCCCAGGAGGCTGAGGCTGCAGTGAGCTATGATTGCTCCGCTGCTCTCCAGCCTGGAGACCCTATCTCTTAAAAGAAAGAAAGAAAGAAAGAAAAACATTCCAATATCAGCAAAAGAAGAATGAAGGCCAGAAAATAAAATGTAGATATAAATGTTAAAGGAGAGGGGATTATTTAGAATAAAAGTAATAGAACCATTTAACTAGCTTAAGTTTAATAATTATCATATCCAAAATGGTATCAATTTGCAGCAATGAGAAAAGGAAATGGATCTAAACACTGAATTAAGAGCAGGATATAATATAAGGACCAACAGTGGAAAGGTGGTAAAAACGCCTTCCCCTTCCAGAGCAGTTCAACCCCAAAGCCACTGGGTGGTGAGAAGGAAGATGTCTGTGCCGGGAGGGTGAAGGCAGTGCTCAGCACCAGGTGCCAGAACCAATGCGCAGGTCAGAGTGTCCTGGCAGGGCTGCCCAGTGTGGGAGGCCAGGGCCTGAGCGGTGCAGAGGGGTCATGCAGGGAAGGGGATGGAAGTGCAGAAAGGGGAGATGGAGGACACACAAGGAGATGGGTCAAAGCTGCAAACACCGAGGAGGCAGCGCAAGCAGGTTTCACCATGGAGAGCCATGGGAGACGGTTGCAGAAGAAAGCTAGAAGGAATCCGTGGGGTAGGGCTGGAATTGGAGATGCCATGAACCCATGGTTTTTTTAAAATACAGAGATAAATACAGAAATAAATGTAGATGCAAATGTGTATGGAGGGATGCGAATGTAGAGGGAGGGATGTGTGTGTACATGTATGTGTGTATTCCCTAGCTTTTTCCTCTGAAAAGCCTGAGAGCGTTGGTATCCCAGTAGCTATGAGTTCACCTTGTATCCAGATATTGGCTTTTAAATAACATTCTCCACTGAAAGCACCAAGAATCCTTGGAGAAATGGCTGCTTCCAGAAAGCAATAAACAGATCAAAGAATTATGGGGACATGTCAAAAGGATACCAAAGCCAATGTGAAGAGGATCCTCCTGACCAGATCAGGAAGCATCAGAATCTACAGTGATTGCAGAGGACTATAACCCACTGAATAAAAAGGACGCCATGCGTCCATGCTGCCACAAACACACACATTCCATACAGTCAGACAAGGGAGAGGATATTTACATACTTTCAAAGAACTTCCCACAAAATGCTTTTTAATATCAAAGGAGGAAAGAATTGAGTTATTTTATAACGGAAAAGTATGGTGGACACTCCCGTAGTCAAGTGATCAAAATGATCATCACCACAAAGGGAAAAATTAAAATCATATGCTGATAGGATGCAATGAAAATGCAGCATCATTTCATGACACGCCTACATCTAATCGTAAGGAAACATCAGGCAAATGTGCATTGAGGTACACTCTACACAATGATCAGCCTGTAACCTTCAAAAGTATCAAGTTCATGAGCTTCAAAGAAAACTTGAGAAAATGCTCCAGATTAAGAAGACTAAAGCAACATGACAACTAAGTGCAATGTGTGCTTCTCCACTGGATCCATTTGCTATAAAGATGTTATTAGTACAAATGAAGAAAAACCTGGGGTCTGAGAAGATACTAGTAACTCATCAATGTCAATTTCTCGACTTTGATGGTTGTATTCTGACTATGTAGGACAAAGTCTCTGTTTGTAGGAAATATATGGAAATAATGTAGCATCATGTTGGCAGCACTTCCAAATAGCTCAGGAAAAAAGTTTTTTGTAACCTCTGTAATCTTTCTGTAAATCTGGTAATTGTTTTTAAATAAAATTTTAAAAATCACTTTAAAAAAATACCAGCTGGGCCTTTCAGTCCTTGCACATGGAGAACAAAGTCTTGGAGAAAGGAGGACTTGCGATGGTCCTACTATTTCTTTGCCTTCAGTCTCTGCTCCTTTACAGAGCTACCTACTATGCCACATTGGGACAGAGTGTTGGCCAGTTCGCAAACTCTGCGGTCTATATGTAGGAGCTGCTACAAGAGCCCAGGAAAAAATCTGCCATTTTCAGTGGAAAACAAGTGGTAGTTACTAATTATGATGGCTTTGTACTTTGAATCTGATTTGCTACAGCCTTCCTTATAGTAAGGCACCAACTGCTTAAGACAGGAAGATGTTTTAGTTCATCCATGATACAAACATGAAGATTGCTCTCAGAGGTATAATAATCTCTTTGAAAAATGGATATATTCTTGTACTCCTATAGCATACGAGGCATGTTTATGACAGGAATATTTAATGTCTCTTCTCTGAAATATGCAATGTGATCACTGGCATGTGCTTGCTTTATTTGAGTAATATTCCAGGATTCGTTTCTTGATTTTAAAAAAATGTTTATGATTTAGCTTGATCCTGAGATTGCATTTAATTTTTAATTCCTAAGTCAGGACCTTGTTAATGGTTTATGTCACAAAAAAAGAAATGGGCCGGGCGCGGTGGCTCACACCTATAATCCCAGCACTTCGGGAGTTCGAGGTGAGTGGATTGCCTGAGCTTGTAAATTCGAGACCAGCCTGGGAAACTTGGCGAGATCTCTTCTCTACAATAAATCAAAAAATTAGCTGGGCATGGTGGAGCGAGCCTGTAGTTCCAGCTATTTGGAAGGTTGAGGTGGAAGGATCACCTGAGCTCAGCAGGTTAAGGCTGCAGTAGCCGGAAGCATGCCACTGCCCTCCAGCCTGGGTGACAGAGTGAGACTCCAACTCAAAAGAAAAAACAAAAAACAAAACAAAAAAATCAACAAAAAAGAAATGGAAATTAAAACACACACACACACACACACACACACAAAACCACCAGAAGCTACCAAAGACTTCCAAAAAAGCAAATTACTGCACAAGCTTTCCAGGTGGCTCCTGCTTAACGGTATTCCTGCCCTGGTATAATGCCCATATCCTGAGTGTGGCTGGTCTAGTGACCTGCTTCTAATTAAAATATGACAAAAGTGATGGGATGTCACTTCTGAAATTAGGTTGCAAAATGAGTCTGACTTCTCTCTTCTCACTCTGCCAGCTGCCAAGATGTAAACTGTCCCAACAGGCACGCAGCAAAGGATCAAGGGAAGGCTCTGGCCAATGGCCAGCATGGCACTTAAGTCTTCCCATAGCACATGGAACAAATCCCGTCAACAAACACATGACTGAGCGTGGAGCGGACCCTTTTCTCAGCGAGCTTTGCATGACAGCACCCACGCTAGCCAACCTCGACAGCAGCCTGAGAGACCCTGAGCCAGAGGACTTGGCTAAACTGTGCCTGATTCCTGATCCACAAAAATTACGAGATAAAAATGGTTGCTGTTTTAAGCCACTAAGTTTTAGGGCAATTTGTTAAGCAACAATAGATAATACACAAAGAAAAATCTAGAAAGAGATAGTATAGTAGTATAGTCTCAAAAACATTAGACTATAATCCTGGGTCTGCCATTTGGTAACAGGTTTATCTTGGGCAAATCACACAGCCTACCCAAAACTGTTTCCTTTTCTGCAAAATGAATACAATAATAATAATCATACCTATTTTCATAGGTTTAAGGTGAAGATCAAGCATGACACTATATGTGAAAACATCTTATACACAAATATCAGTTACTATTTCTTCACTCAGGCTTGTAGTTTTTCCTCCAGTAAAAAGAAGAGGTTAGAAAATCTCAAATTCCCTTTGAGGAATAATATTATATGCTGATTTTCTTATAAAATTTCTTACCAAGGTTGATTCTTACATTTAAAACATCAGAATAAATGGTGAAGTAGCTGAGAGGAATAATAATTCCAGGAGTAAGGAGAAAGCACAACTCATAGGAACTAAAAAAGGATATGGAAAATGTTTCCACTCTGCTAAAGAAGGCTTCTTTGCTTGTAGATTCCAATGGAGGCTGTTCTGGTTGGGGTGATCCATTAACTGGCTGGGATGTGGCAGATGTGTCCTTCCTATAGAAGGTGACAAGACTGTTGGTAATCCTACGGTACCACTCTGCTTAAATGTTTTGTATCTAGCTTCCATTCACCAACACTGGACTTCAAGCTTCCTAAAAATCATTTTAGGACCAGGCACAGTGGCTCACGCCTGTAATCCCAGCACTTTGAGAGATGGCGGCAAGAGGATGGCCTGAACCCACGGGTTCATGACCAGCCTGGGCAACTTGACAAGACCTCTTCTCTACAATAAATCAAAAAATTAGCCAGGCATGGTGGTGTACACCTGTAGTTCCAGCTACTTGGAAGGCTGAAGTGGAGGGATTGCCTGAGTTCAGCAGGTTGAGGCTGTGGTAGCCGTGATCATGCCACTGCACTCCAGCCTGGGTGACAGAGTGAGACTCCAACTCAAATAATAATAATAATAATAATAATAATAATAATAATAATAATTTAGTCATTTCATTCTTCTGCATAATATTTTCAATGGTTTCACAATATTTACTAAATAAAACCCCAAATCTTCATCCTGGTATTTGAACTCTACAGTTTAATCATACCCAAGTTTCAATCAACTTCTACACTACAGTCCTTCATTAATACTGGCAAATTATTCTCCTAGCTCACTCATTGTTCTCCAAAAGCATTTTGTCTAACTTTAGTAACCACAAAATAAGATTCAAGGCTTCAGGTATGCATGACACAATTTGAACCTCCTTAGAAATTAAACTTTTAACAGAAGAAAAAAATAAGTTTGGAATTTGTACCTGGGTCCACCCTTGATAGCCCTCCTAAAAAAGAACCAGTTAGAAAACTCAAATCAAAGTAAAAATCTTTAGGAAATTTCATGAAAAAAAAATCCAGAGAAAAAATCAGCAATTATTTTTCAGTGAAAAGCAGTTCAACAGCCCCTGGGGTGGGGATTGGAATTGCTTAAAGACAAGAGTTATTTTAATAAAAATAAGTTACACCTACAATTATAACTCAAAAGTAGTAAATTTATCCTAAGAATCTCAGAGATTCATAGAGCATCTCAGGGATGTATGATTCTTACAAAAAGTTTAGAGGATTCATAAACTTGAATGGGAAAAAATGACATTTATTTCACTAATCCAGGTAGTGAAATGAAGGCAAAAAACCACAGTGGTATTAGCAGTACCCAAGAATTTGTCACCAAAGTAAGGATTTTTCTCACGTTTTGGATGTGGCACATGCTTTGAAATAACACTTATGCTCATCACTAATTCAAAATTATGGTAGGCACTAGATAGCCTGGTAGATATTATGCACTCTTTTATAAAAAAATCATGTCACTGCATAACTTTTTCTTAGTGTCACTATCTTGATAACCACATCCCAACGCCATTAGTTTCCTTTAAAATTCTATGTAATTTACTTTAAGCATGCATTCACTGATTGATTGGTTGAGTCGGAAGTCTCACTCTGTCGCCAAGGCTGGAGAGCAGTGGCATGATCACGACTCACCGCAGCCTCCAACTCCCGGGCTCAGGCGCTCCTTCTGCCTCCGCCTCCAGAGCAGCTTGGACTACAGACGCGCGCCACCACGCCCGA